GTCGTGCTGCTCTGAAGGAGTTCTGGTGGAGGCGACAGTGTTACATCTATCTTGAAATGTATGGAATGCTAAAAATACTCAAAAAAAAAAAACCCAGGAAAGGTTGTGAGGAAAAAGAGCAAGATGTTGGAAATTGCAGATTAAATCATGGGCATCAATTTTGCTTGCTAAATCATCATATCCACCTAATGGATGTGGTCTTTATCATGTTTGCTGGTCCTGCTTGTCTCTGTGAGCAGAAATATCCCCTTCTGCACTGGAGTTTGCCCATCTCCTGCATATGGCTGCTCAAGCCTGGCATGTGCAAGTCTCTGGATGACTTCTGTGGAAGAGGTTTTCTTGTGTGCATGAATCCAAAAGCACTCAAAACTAGTGCCACAGTGTCATATTAATTCAAAACCGTATTTGGAGAGCAAAGTGTTTTAATACCTGCATATAAAATAAAGCACATCCATTAGAACAGTTCTCCCAGAAATGAGAAGTGGAGATTCATTTGAGTCCTTTCTAAATCAGTAGAAATTTGCATTTGCTACTCAGTTCTACTTTCTAGAAGCTGTGGACATGTAAGATGCAGAGGCTAACTTTTGTATCCTAGTGGGACCAGTCTTCCAGAGAGTCATTCCAATTATCAGAGATTTTCTCTCTTGTTTCCCTTTTCCTAAAAGCCTGTTTAGAATAGATACTGTGGTTTTAGCTGTTCTGAGTAACCTTGAGAAGTTACAAAAACTTCTTTGCACAGACTGTAGAGCTAAGCTAAGGAAACTGGGTGCATGGGTTGAAATAAGGCTTGTCCTCATCCCCTTTGAATACCATTGTTTGGTCTTGCTGTTGAAATAAAGCTGGCCAGGTATGCAAGATTTTGAGATCAAAATTGCTCTTATGATTCTTGTAGCCTGTAGTTATTTGCAGAGGAGGACATCCTAAGTTCTAATTTGCATTGTTGTCATTACTGTTTATATTGTCCAACAGCTCTTTTGCACAAAGTGTATGTGTGGCTCTGGAACAGTTTTGAAGAAAAACATAGTGCTGTCCTAGTCAGAAAATTATATGGGCTCTGTCAGTGAGTAGTAGGCATGTTGTCCCTGGCCATGTGTAATTTCACCCATCAGCAAAGCCATTTATCCTTCAGTTTAAGCTAAGACCACTTTTAGATTATCATTGAAAGAGGGATATAGCAGTCAAAGACATGAGCAGTCCCCATATGCCTGCTTCTGCCCCTCTTTCTTCCTGTTTCATTCCTCAGCTGAGCTGGAAGAAGAGAGTGTTTGCTATCCATAATTTTTCCATATCAGTGTCATACATTGTAATCCAAGACACTGTTGATGGCACTTTGAAGCTCACTGTGAAAACTTGGCATAGATGTAGATGAGGGAGTTCTCAAAAGTTTCATTCTGCCTGGGGAGTTGTAGGGCTTGATTGCCTCCAACCTGGGCAACTGACATCTCCATTGCTCTAACTAGGTCTGGAAGTAAATGTCTTTTAGCTATATTTAAACAGCTCTAAGTGTAAATTTTGGTTTAACTTTCTCAAATAAATGAGGTGTGTTCACTAACATATTGCAGGTGCATCACAACTTTATATTTGCATCAGGTGCTTACACAGAGAATGTCACAGCAAAGGGCTGATCTCAGCCAGAGCCTCTATACCCTTATCACGTAACATTCTAAAATTCCATGAGAATAATATAAAAGTATGCATATTTGTGATCCTGTGACCTCACAGATGCCAGATGTGCTGATTTTGGAAAACACTTCAAAGAACTTGAATTCAGCTTAAATACTTGCTGTGCCTAGGAGAAGCAAGCGCGCATATATCTCTTTATATATAGATATATACAGTGTGTGTATTTAATATTGTATTTACATATTTGGAAGTAGAACAGCTGTTTCTACTTTTTCTTCATCCACTTAGTAAAGTTTTACACGCTCTTTCCATTATGCTGGTGCTGTATCTTAGGTCAGAGAATGAATGTGTGCTAGGGCCACGGTAAATGAGAGCCCTGTGGCTCTAGCTGTTTTCAGGATTATCTGATTTATATGTCAGACAGAGTAATCATGTCATTGGTATCATTCCCTTTCTTGTTTTTCATTTTAAAAATGTTATTTCTTCTTTCTCCACACATGGAATCATTTTCAGGTTTCAGTTCCAGATGTTTACAGATGAGCTTTCTATGGTCTGAGCTCAAAATCAATATCAGCTGGAATTTTAAAGATAGAGTTATTTTCATATGTTGTGGGTCACAAGTTCTTCCAGTATTTTTCTCCAACAGAGAGCTCTTTCTGCATGGTTGGAATCCTTTCTGCAATTTTTTTTCTTCTTCAAGCATCACATTCTCATCTTATTTGTCAGAAATAGCCTCCTTTTATTCTCTCTAAAGATAGATATTAATGTCATGCCACAGTTCCCTCTTCTTTCAAGAGCTTTCAGTGCTTTGACAAAGCACTGAAAGTAATTTTTTTCAAGTAATTGATTGTACTATTAAGCTGTAATTAATTAACATATTCTGTATTGATATTCTTGTAATTGATAATTGCCATTTCCTTCTGTAAAGCAAAGTATCAAATCTCTGGAAGTTGGTAGCTGTGCCTTGACTTCAGAAGGAAACTATTTTGTGAAGTTTTCACTTTAAGACCATGGCTCACAGTTCTTTCAGTTGTGCTGATGCATCTGGTTTTAGAATTGAATCACTGAATCACATTAATGGGGGGGGGGGGAAGTAATTTTAAAAGGGAACATCTCAGTGATGCAATTTACGTTGCAGCTATACAAATAGATTTATCAGCACAATTGTGATGGAGGCAGATTGTACCAGGATCAGAATTAGCAGCTGGGGCAGAAAGCTTGTTGAGAGAAAATTGCTCAATTATTGTTAGAGGAGCTGAGCTGTTTCCTTTGTTTTCTGTTGTTGAAAGTGCCTTCCTGCTCCACCTTCGCCCTCTTCCCCCAGTTTAGGTAAATTCTATTTTTTAAAAGTCTTTTGTCACAAAATATTGAAAATGTTCATTTCTTTGGTGAAGGTGTTTAGTTTCCAGATTGTTGTGATAGCAAAGTGACTTTTTGGATTCAGCGATGATAAGGGCTCTCTTGATTCTCTTCCAAGTCTTCTTTTGTGAAAATTTGGAAGAAAAATGTGCTTAGCTCAAGCCAGTATTTATATGCTAAGAGTCACAGAATTTCATCTGGGCTAGTTCTGTGTGGTGTGTGGGTGAAGTAGCAGGTAGCACTATTTGCCTTTAGTTTGCAGACCCATGAAAAGTAGAGCATTTTCTTCAGTTGTAGCTTTGGGTGCCTCCCTGTGCAGCTCTTTCTGAACTTTTCCTTTGGGAAGAGAGAAAAAAGTAACACAGATTTCCTCCATTTGAAGTTTTTACAGAGTACCATGTTTTACTTGCTGTGGAACATAAGCTCTGAGAGTCTGGGTTTTGTGCTGTTGTTTTACTACCAAAGAACTATAAAGCAGGAAACAAACCCCTCTCTGGAAAAAATGCCATGTGCATTTCCACACTTAAAAATGTTTGTCTCAAGTTTGGTTTGGGCTACACTCTTCTTTTTGACTTGTTACTCTCCACTGAAGTTTAGTTCCTTCCAAAAGATTCTCTTTTATTTGCCAACCAGTGTTTGAAAAGTGGGTCTGCTCCTAAATTGTTTTCCTAGACTATGCTATTAAGCATTTAAGAATTATCTTCATTAAAGGTATTGTGGTAATCATTGTGTTTCTAATAATAGTTTAGTTTTGTACATAATGTTGGGCCTTTTTGCTGTTTTTCTGACATGAAGATGCTTGAGCTGACCTCAGACTGGTCCTTATTAATGCGTTCTTAGGGTGGGTTTTCACTGGGGGAGGGATGGGTGTGCTTTGTATGGTTTTTTATTTCATTTTTAGTAAAGGGGAATTGCTTACATACAGTTGGATCATTTCTGTCCACAATACAGGTAAGTGTGAAAGAGTTGCACATCTCTGTGAAAAACAAGTTTTAAGACAAGCAGACAATACCAAAAGATAATCATACTTGGAAGAATATCAACATTTTAGCTTTTTTTCCTCAAAAAAAGATGTATGGAGATAGAAAACTTACTTATCTTCAGTCAAAAAGCTAATGTATTTTGTAAATGGAAATTGGCCTAAGAGGTTTGAAAATGAGTTGCATCTGGCAGTTGGAAGACTTTGAAAAGTTCCTTTTTTGCTGGGTGTTCAGATGAATAAACTTAGCTGGAATTTGGAAAAAAAAATTGAAACGTCGCTGACTTGCTTTGGAAATTGCATAAGAGTATGCAATTTATGCATATGTTCATTATGCATACGTTTATTATATTTTAATTATGCATATGCTTATGTTTGTTGCTGCAAAACAATTGCAGAGATAATGAAAAGTTAGTTCATCTCAAATGTGGTGCATGACTAGCGTGCAAACTCTCCATTCTTTGTGGGAGATGGATTCAGGTAAACCACTGCCAGGACTTCTTTAATCCTTAGTGATTAAAAGCATCCAAACTAATTAAAGTCTTCTTTGTCAAGGAGTTCTATAAGAAACATATCCAATAAACAAAATTTGGTGAAATTATTTAAACACAACTTATATCTGAAGTATTAGGAAGGATTACAAACAAAATTATTGGTGCTTTGTATGAAGATTGAGATTGCTAGACATTTCACAGTTTAATTTTAAATATATTGAAATGAAAAGAAAATCTGGTTTAGCATTTGTACTTTGCTTTACTGTTATTTATTAAATATTGCTGCAAGGAGTACTTCATTTCTCTATTATGGTATTTCACCTTATAAAAGTTATTTTTGGTATCCAGATAGTGCTGAGCTAGTTACATTTTTATTAGCACAAGTCAGAAGACAGGAAATGGTCAGTAAGTTTTACAGCTGAAATTCAGGTTAAATCCAATATCCTTTGTTACGTTTGAATCTAACTCAATAAGGGTTGATGTAAATAATGTGCTAATGTAAAGACTTTTGCATTTAATAATTTTCTAAAATGTGTTGTTTCTAGGTCTACAGACAAGACTGTGAAACCTTTGGCATGGTAGTGAAGATGCTAATTGATAAAGATCCATCTTTAGAGAAGTCCATTCAGTTTGCCCTGAGGCAGAATTTGCATGAGATAGGTGAGCGATGCATTGAAGAACTCAAACATTTCATTGCTCAGTACGATGCTGCCAACCAAGATGTGTCTGAGCCCTTCAAAGAGGGCTCATACTAAGGACAAAAATATGCTTTTAGATCCTCTGCATTGTGTCTGCCATAGTCCATAAATCTGCTTTTTGTGGGGAAAGAGGAACTTTTGTTTGAGGTTTGAACGCAAGGCCTGTGCTCCTTTCCAGTAGCTCAGGTGGCTGTTCCCTTGTCCACTGTGGTCTCCACAATTGTATTCATCCTACCTGTTCTTGTTGACATATATTCCTTTGAAAGGATGTTCTTTTCAAAAATGCTGTAAAGCAATGAACTGTTTTTGAAACCTTTCCAGTTACCTTGGAAAAAATGATCAGTCTGATGTCTGTACACTTACGTTTTGATGCTTACAAGTGTAATTGAAGCATTGTATTTTTTATTAAAATTACATGAAGCTGCTCTCATTCCTCAAGTTATGCACAAATATGTCTTGTTATCATACATGCTATAGGAAGGGAAAACTCGCAGAATTGGTCACAATTATGATTTAAATTATTTAGCCTGGTTTAATTTAAAAAATCAGCTGAATTCTGTAAAATTACACTAGGATTTATCTCTCGTCTGACTGCCAGAATAATTAACTACTTGTTGTAAAAAGTGCTGTATTTTTGTTCTAATTGCAGGTTCTACAAAATGCCTTTTAAATTTTGGTGTTTTCCATATCATGACTCACTACTAGTAAGCAGTATTATGTAGGATGGATTCCATTTTTTGTTACTGTTTGCTCTGTTTTTAACTACACTGTACAGAATGTAGCTATGGGCAGGCACTGAGCAGGGAAAGGTCACTTTTCCTACTCTGTTGCTCTCCCCACTTACAACTTCTCAAGCCTTTTCATCCATCAGTTTTAACAATAAGGAGGCTGTGTGTAATCTTTATTTCCAGCTTTAAGAAGGAGCAGGATTTGGGGTGTCAAGGATGGACAAGGAAAGTGAGCAGGACCATCTCTTCAGTAAACCCAGGTGTCTTGGTTTGAAAAGACAGGTGTCTGCTAAGAAGGCAGGAGCCTCTCTTGAAATGGAAAATGTAAACCCCTCTCCTCTGAATTATTATAATTTTGAAATTAAGGGACTTTCAGGCAAAGATATGGGAATAGGAATAACAGTTCTTTACTAGGAAAATTAAAATAAAAATGCAGAGATACAAAACAACGACAGAGTCAGAATACAACCTTACACCCTGTTGGTCAGTGTGTTGGTAACAGTCTGATTAAATGGTGGCTGCCGTCCTCCTGGAGTGACAAGAGTGGTTCTGTTAAAGCCGTGGCCCTGTAGAAGGGTGTAGTTTTCCAGTTGTGGTGTAGATGGGCCTGGTCTTCCTCTGGGAATCCAGTGGAAAAAGGCTCCTCTGGTATTCCAAATCTCGGATTTTTATCTAGGTAGGAATGCTTGGCTCCTCCCCCTGGGCGGAGCATCCCATCGCTGGGGGGGTGTAATTTTCAATCAGGCACTGAGACTCAATGACCCATTAACAGAAGAGATCTCCCTGGGCTGAGGATGGGTCCTGGAAGAGATAAAGAAAACTGCCCCACCTGGTTTTAACAGCTGGCTCATTAACAGGATATCCCCCCACAGAGTTATGAGGGATGGGTCATGGAAGAGATAAAGAACACTGCTCCACCTGGTTTCAACAGATGGTGATAGAATACATACTTCTGGTTACATCTTACATTGCAGCCTTAGAGACCAGGTTGCTTTCAGTTGGGTGGAACACAGAGTTTATCCTTAAGTCCTCAATTTCACTATCACTTCAAACCTAGGGGATTCTGGTTAGCGTCCAGCAGCACTCTTGACCTGATAGAACAACTTGCAATTTGGGAACAGTGGTTGAGGAAAGCCAAGAGGTTCCCACTGAAAAATATTTAGGATGCATTTAGAGCATGTGAAACACTGTAAAAGGACTAATAACCAAACTCACCATTTCCAGATTTCATTAGAATGGTGTGCAGAAACACAAAGTAGCAATGATTTGGCATGTACAAGGTACTGTATGTATCACAGCATCTTACACATGCAAATCTTGCTATGGTGTATTAATATGTATTGCATCAGATTCCTGAGATGCCTGGTTAGTTCTCATGTTGGTAAGGGGAGGTTTTGTCGTTGGCTTTTCTTGTTTTCTAAGAGTTCACATTGCTGCAAGGAGATGACCTGCAACTGGGATTGTGTGGGCTGCACAGTGAGTGGGAATCAGCTCATGGTCCTACAGGATGCTGATTTGGGGAGGGAGAGAGGAGAAGAGAGGCAAGCTGTTGTGACATGGTAGTGACACCTGATCCACTCCTTCTGGCAACAAACTGGTTTACTGAGATCAGTCAAGGTCTTCTCTGATGCAGAAGCATAACTACAGCACTTCACTACTTCACTACAGGACTGAGAGCCTTCAGGATGTTACATCTGAGTTTCTACTTTGGGTTAAAAATGCTAATGGAAAAATAATAAAATTGTGTGTAATATATTTTTTATTAAAAGTTGCCATTGCTACTGTACAGTTTGTTAGGTGTTTCCTTTGTTAGAAGCCTGATTATGTTTATTGTTATAAAAGTATCCAAGTTTTCAAGTGCTTTTCTGTAAAGTAAGGCTGAAGTTTACACTTACAGAATCATAGAGTATCTCAAGTTGGAAGGAGCCTGTAGTGTTGGTTGAGTCCAACTCCCTGCTCCTCACTGAACCACTAGGAGCATTGTCCAGATGCTCCTTGAACTCTGGGAGGCATGGGGCTGTACCACTTTCCTGGGAAGCCTGTTCCAGTGACTAACCATCCTCTCATGTCCAATCTGAACTTCCCCTGATGCAGATTCATTCCATTTCCTCGAGTCCTGTCACTGGGCACCAGAGAGAATTCATTGCCTTCCCCTCTGCTGCCCACCTTGAGGAACCTGTAGAATGCACTGAGGTCACCCCTTAGTTTCATCCAGGGTCCTCCTTTCAGCACCTTGATCACCCTACTCTGGGCACACAGATAGATTCATATCCTTATATTGTGGCTCCCAAAACTGCCCCCAGCACTCGAGGTGAGGAGCAGAGCAGGACAATCCCCTCCCTTGCCTGGCTGCAGATGCTGTGCCTGATGCCCCCCAGGACATGGGTTGGCCCTCCTGTTTTCTCCTCCTGGGGCACTGCTGATTTGAGTACAATTTGCAATCAGCTGGGACTTCCAGGTCTCTTTCTGCAGGGCTGCTATCCAACTTCTCACTCCCTAAGTTTCACAGGTAATCAGGACTGTCCTGTCCCAGGTGGTGAATGTGGCTCTTGCCCTTGTTAAACTTCATGCAGCTGGTCATTGCCTCCCAGCTCAGAGTCTGTTCAGATCTCTCTGCAGGATTTCTCTGCTCTTGAGGGAATCTACAGCTCCTCTCAATTTAGTATCATCAGCAAACTCACTCAATGGACATTTGACTTGTCTTTCTCCATCCAAGAGCACTGGATGGAGAAATTGAGCCCTGTGGAGTCCCACTGGAGACCAGCTGCCAGCCTGAGGTAACACCATTCACTATGCCTAATCATTTGTTTAATCTGATTTTTTTTTTAATTGATTAAACTTTACTTGTGAACTAAGGAGTCTTTTGACTCCTTAGTCAAAAGCTTAGCTATTTCTGTGAAAGGTTTAATTCACATTTCTAAGTGATGAGTAACTGATTTTCCATATAATACTTGGCATTGTGTTGAATGTTTGCATTTGAACTTTTGTGATGCATGCTTTCAGTTGATGTAAGTAAAATATAATATCGAAGTCCCTTAACTTAAGGAAGAAACATGGCTTTTATTCTTGCTTGCTTTACAAGTATGTATTTTGGATTAGTTTTATGTCATGTAAAAAAATATGTGTCTGATCTCGTAGTCAGCCTCAGTGGGGCTCTGGAAAGCTGTAGGAAGAGCAGAGGGGGAAGGAAACATGTTGTGATGGAGGAATTTAATTTGTTGCCTTCAGAGCTCCTGAAAACAGAAATTACTCCTAGCACTTTTTAATATTGCAAATACCCTTAAAAATTAAAAAGAAGGTGGAAATTGAAAGAGTATGGAAATGTAGTGCTGTCTGCTGAGACTGAAGTGGTTACTGCTGTAACCTCACTTGGGAGAGTTGGCAGCTTTGAGTGGCAATGTGAGCAGTAAAGGTGAAAATCAGCAACAAAACCACTATTGATATGAAAGGAGGTAATGCCAGGCATCAGAGAAGGACCAAATCCTTGTCACCCTTTTGTCTGCAAGACTTTCAGTTTTGATAAGGATAAAGTTTTACCTTAATATTTTTTACTGTCAGGAAGGTTATACTGGGTGTGGCTGGGATGGAGTTAAATGTTCTTCATAGAGGCTGGTGCAGTGTTGCTTTGCTTCAGGTTTTTCCGGGAAATATGGTGATAACACTGGGATGTTTTAGCTATTGCTGAGCAGAGCTTACCCAGAGTCAAGGCCTTTTCTGCCTCTCAGCCCACAGCACCAGTGAGGAGGGTGGGAGTGCACAACATGCTGGGAGGGAACACAGCCAGGACAGCTGATCCCAGCTGACCACAGGATAGGGCATCATGCCTGGCTTATAAAACTAGGGATGGGGGTGAGGAGTTTGCCAGGGCTGTTCAAGGACTGGCTGGGTATTTGCTAGTGCTGAGCTAGTGGGTTTTTTGGTATTACTTCAGGGCTCTTTGTTTGGAGTTTGTTTTTATCTATTAAATGCTCTTCAGCTCAGCCCATGAGTTTTCTTATTTTTCTCTTTCCCATCCCACTGGGGGGTAGTGAGTAGGGAGCTGTGTCATGCTTAGGTGCCTACTGGGATATATGCTCCACTAGGAATATGGGTACTACTTCCAGTAACACTAACCACACTTTAGAGCTTTTGTGACTGTATCTGAGTCTTGTGCTGGTCACTGACACTATAACCCATACCATTCTCAAGGTGGAGGAATCAATTAGAAATAGTTCTCATAACGAGTTGTCAAAGATGGTAAGATATTGTGTATGTCAAGCTGAAAAAAATAGTCATATAGTCATCTTTAAACTTTTTTTTAAAAAAAGAAGGTATTAAGAAGCAGTTAATCTGGGAGAACTGTAATATTCCATAATGTACTACAGTTTGGGAGAGTACATCTGCTGCATCTCAGGAGATGGTGTGGCATCAGAAGAATTACTTGTGGAGACATTTCTCCATGTCTCCAACACGTGGCACAGTATTTTGTTTCTGAGGATCCAAACAGAAAGCCAGCTGAGAGTGGAAGGTCCTAATCATCCTTGGAGCATCCTGGGCTGGGGGTTATGAGCAAGTCAGCATCTCCAGCCCCGTAAGCCCTGCCAGTGTGGGGCTGTAGCATACTTGAGCCCAGCAGGCACATGGCTGCTAGGAAAGCTGCCTGTACCCCGCAGCAGCCAGATGGAAGCACCCCACGGGCACCCAGGCAAGGCTTTGAT